ATTCCTTCAGTCCCCGTACTGGCTGGTGAGGAAGAAGAAAATCGACGCAGCTGAGAAATCTTTAAGATTCCTTTGGGGACGAGATGCCAATGTGGACAGAGAACTGGAGGCAATTAGGAGCACGACTATTTCCGAACAGAATAAAGTCAAGAACCAGGTACTTATTAAAAGAATAGAGTGGTTGAATTATAATCAGATTAATAACCTTAGCCCATTTTGTAAATGTGAATAACATTTTACAGATACTAAGTAATTTCTGATAGAAAACCGTTTGAATCATACATTAGATTTATAGCTTTATCATTTCCTATCAAAATTGATAGGAAAATATAAACATTTCTTACGTGTTTGTTCTTATGTATGGGTGTTTTTTTCTGTATTTTAGATAAAGAAACTTCGTAAAAGACACAACGCCATTCCAGTTGTTTTGACAATCAGCTTGTTAATTCTAAAGGAACTTGGTGGAAGAGGACCAACTTTCACCTACTCTGTGTACATGATCCGTTACTCGGGAGTGCAGCTGGATGCTTTCTATTGTACAATATTCATCGGTGTTGCCCGCCTTGCAAGCACTTGTGTATCTGCTTGCATTTCGGACGTGGTGGGTCGCAGACCCCTCCTTGTGGCGTCAACACTGGTCTGTGCGGTGTCCGAGGGCGTGGCTGGAACCTTCCTCACCCTGGAAGCGGAAGGTCCCACGTGGGTGCCCCTGGCATCTGTGATAGTGTTTGCAATCGGTTACGGGCTAGGTCTTGGGCCCATTTCTTGGGTCTACATTGGTGAACTATTACCCACACCTGTCAGATATCTGGGATCTGCAATGGCAATATTTGGTGGATTTCTAACATACTTTGTCCTCAATCTTGTGTTCCTGAACATGACATCGTCTCCTGGCCTTGAGTTCACTTTGCTCCTCTTTGGAGGAGCAAATCTGACAATTGCCCTTCTAGTGTTGTTTTTTATTCCCGAGACTGCAGGGCGAACGTTGCATGACATGGATAAGGCATTTGTGTCCAACCGAAGACAACAAGGTCGACATAACTCTACATTTGAGATCGATATCATCCCGTCAGTTGCAGACCGTGCACGCAAATTTGAAGATAGCTTGTTCAATGTCAGCCAAACACACACACACACACATAGGTAGATACACACATATAGATAGACACACACACACACATGCACACGCATGCACGCATGCACGCACGCGCACATGCATATAATTATATATATATATATATATATATATATATATATATATATATATATATATATATATGTATATATATATACACACATACACACACACACACACACACACACACACACACACACACAATATATATATATATATATATTATATATATATATATATATATATATATATATATATATATATGTATATATATATGTGTGTGTGTGTGTGTCTGTGTGTACACACGCACACACACACACATATATATATGTATATATATATATATATATATATATATATATATATATATATATATTCACACATTATACATACATACATACATACATATATATATATATATATATATATATATATATATATATATATATATATATATATATACAGTGAACCTCGCTATAACGCGTGTATATGTTTATATATACACACATATTTCTATGCACACACACTCACACTCTCTCTCTCTCTCTCTCTCCCTCTCTGTTACTCACACACCCACTTACTCTCTCTTTTCTCTCTCTCCCTTCCTTCCTCTCTATCTCTCTCTGTGTGTGACTGCCTCTGTCTGTCTGACTGAAATCTCTCTCTCTCTCTCTCTCTCTCTCTCTCTCTCTCTCTTCTCTCTCTCTCTCTCTCTCTCTATATATATATATATATATATATATATATATATATATATATATTAAATGTCATAATAACAAACAGACCCGATATTATTCTTCACACAGATTCTATCCCATGCCTAATTGCTGATCACGAGCTTTTAACCTTGATCTTAAATATAGAAAAACCAAAGCGATAACCAGTCACCAAAACATCGTGATCTAAATCATAACGATCCTAAATTACCCTGAAAACATATAGCTAACGAATCATTGCTATTAGATATTTTAGCAACAGATAATGTTGACAGACAAATTACGTCTTTAACAAATGGTAAAGAACAGCATAAACGCCTCCGCACCCATTCAAACTAAAAGAGTAAAACGTCCTCCCGCCCCCTGGAGAGATGGCAACATCAAGTGAGCCATAAATGATAGAAATAATACTCAGAAAGCTCTCAAGATAAACAGATCTGACACCAACCTTCAGGCTGAAGATAAACACAAGAAAATGAATGTGAAAACACTCATCCATTGTGCGAAAACAAATTGTTTCAAAAGTAAGATCAATGAAAGCAGAAACGATTCTGCCGAAATGTGGAAACTGGTTAAGACACTAGTGCCAAATAAGAAACATAACACAGACATTTCCCAAAAATTCCATAAATGTTATAGAACACTTTAATAACTTTTTTTTTCTTTTTTTTTCAAAAGTCGGTAGGCTCACTTACGAACAGACAAAAGCCTCCACACATCTACACAACATAAATGAAACAAGGCCTAAAACAAACTTTTTCAGACCGCAACCAGTAGTAGAAGCAATTATATTAACAGTAAAACACTTAAGAAAAACAATTCCGTAAGAGCTGATGGCATTGCACAGCGTTTCATAAACGATAATCTACCAGCAATTGCGTACTATCTGACAGTCATTAATACATCCATAGTCACCGGAAACATGGTATCATAACACCTATTTACAAATCTACTGATACAGACGAAATAAATAATTACCGACCCATCACAATACTGCCGGTAATATTGAAAGTACTCGAGAAAATAGTCGCGAACCAATTAACAGTATTTTTGGAAGAGAATAACCTTATATCAAACACGCAACACGGGTTTAGAAGTAAACTATCAACCGAAACAGCATTACTAAAAGTCACAAATGAAATTTATAACAACATAGACAACAACCAGATAAATCTGCTCACTTTGTGTGACTTATCGAAGGCCTGTGTAGCATGACACTGTTCTCGGCACCCCCTTCCCCCAACCCCCCTCAGATGATGCTCACTCGGTGTGCGTGCGTGTGCGCGCGTATGTGTGTGGGTGCGGGCACGCCTGTGCGTGCGTGTGTGTGGTGTGTGTGAGTGTGCGTGTGCACGCGTGCGTGAGTGCGGGTGGTGTGGTTGCGTGCATGTGTATCCCCCTTTGCGCTTGCCGACTGTCAATTCGGTGTTCACATATGCATACATGATTTTATCCATCCCTTTTTATTTCCTTTTAATGGATTATATTCCTATTGTATTTTAACGTTTAGTTTTATTGTTTTATTTTCGTTTATATCAAGTATCTCTTACACGTCACGAGCGTGACGTCACGGCTTTCCCGCGGCCCTTTTGTACCGCGTGAAAAATAAACACTCGTTCCACTGTACCACGGGGCGTTTCTCTCCTCATCCTCTGGCATTTTACACAATTTACATCAAGATTATACCTAAGTGGCCGGCAGCTCCAGCTAAGGAACTCAAAAGAACGGAAAAGCTAAGTATTGAGCCTCAGTGACAGTATTCTTTAAAGATGGAGCTGGACCGTGCAAGATTGCATTTATACATACACCACGTATCATTATGCAGCCTCGTGGTTCTCCTACTTGACCTTATTTCTCTCTTAGGTCTTCTACTACCGTTTCTCCTTTTATTTTACCCTCCTGCAAGATGCAGGAGGGTAAAAAGCATACTTTTCTTATGCGAACCTATCCGCTATTTTTCTCCCTAACTTCTTATGTTATTTTTAATTATTTTAATGTGTTTTATTTATTCATCCACACACATTAAAACGTGCAACGATTTCCCGCCGTGACATCAGGGGGTGAACTTACCCTGCAGATGCCCACTGACCTTTACGGAGAGGGATCTTGGCCCTTAAGGCACTCCTCTGGGTAGGTGGGGCCCCCTGGGGACTACAGGTCCATATACTACAGGGCTAAAATTTCTGGTGGGCAGCGTGGGACGTCACGACAGAGACCATCAGACGGGAAATCTTGCATGGTTTTGTTCCAGCAAAGCATATTTTCGCCATGGGATAGCTTTCTTCTGGTGATTTGTGAGCTACCGTAATTATTTTTCGTGTAGCAATAAGTTAGCCATAATTCACGCGTTGCATTTGTAATGGCATTTTTGAGCTCGTATTCTCATTTCTCGGAGCGACAGAGCTAACTCTTCTCTTCCAGGGATTTTACGGATTAATCGCCAGCTCAGTTTACCCTTTGTGTGGCTCATTTCAGTTTTAGGGATTTTTATGATTTTATTAACCCGTTCTCCCACGACAGCTGCATTTCGTGCCGGTGTTCGAGCCCTGTGCTAGTGCGTGTTGGGAGGGGATGATGGTGTCTTATTCATGTGGATTTTATTATTTGTATTGATGTAACCGTTTTATGTATTTTGCTTTTTTTGTTTTTTTGTTTTACGTATTTTGCTGTGATTTTTACGGCTATTAAGTAAGTCAGTACGTCTGCTGTGCGTCACCGTTCTGTGCGTCAGTCATCAGTCTGTCCGTTCTGTGCGTCAGTCTGCCCGTTCTGTGCGTCAGTCTGTTCTGTTATCAGTTTCTGTGCGTCACGTCAGTAAAGTCAGTCGGTGTGCGTCATCAGTCAGTCAGTCTGCCCGTTCCGTCTGCCCGTGCGTCAGTCTGCCCGTGTGCTCCCCGTTCTGTGCGTCAGTCTGCCCGTTCTGTGCGTCAGTCTGCCCGTTCTGTGTCAATCAGTCAGTGCGTCAGTCTGCCCGTTCTGTGTGGCGTCAAAATCAGTCTGCCCGTTCTGTGCGTACGTGTCTGTCTGCCCTCTCGGTGTGCGTACGTGTCTACTTCAGTCTGAGCGCGTACCTTTCTGAGTGTATACGCGGATTGTATACATTGTTTTTGTGTGTTTTATAGTTTGTACACTTTCTATGTATTGTGTTGATGGTTTCTTCCCATGTGTGTGACCAGTGCTTGACCATTCCCTGTCATTGACACGTGACCCATGCCTCAAAAGGGGACTAGGAAGTAGCCCACGAGAAAAGTCAGTGACCACAGCAGCCAGCCCTCATCGCTTACCACTTCCCCAGAAGGGTTAGTGCTGCCCCTTGTAATTAGTGGATCGCAGCCCGAGCTACGAATGGCAAGTGCTGCATTAGCTGCTGACGTCACAATGCACAAAGAGACCCTGCAACAGTTGAAGGAGGGGCACGAGCAGATGGGTCAGCGGATGCAAGAGTTGGAGAGGCAGTTTGTGGAAGTGGAGCGTAGGATGGAAGAACAAAACCAGCAGATGGTGGAGGAACGACGGCAGTCTGCTGAGAGGCATGAGCAACTATTGAAGATGGTTGGGTGAGTGCTGCCCACTACCATCTCAACTAGTTCACAGGCAGTTAGCAACAATGCCGAACCACCAGCTGTACCACCTCCACAGATGCTGACCCTCACTACGCAGCACGCGCAAGTTGTGGCTGATACTCACAACGAGGAGCCAGGAGCACGTCCTGGCGTAGTGCTACCTGAGCGCCCGGCAAGTTCTCGCAGAGTCTCACTGGTCACCAGTCCCAGCCCTTGGCCTCGTCGCTACCATACTCAAGAGGGCGATGGCGCAAATCTCCAGCTGCCTAGTAGAGTGCCTGAACAACGACAAGGTAACTGTCATACCTCAACCAGTGGACGGGGACAGGTGGTTAGCTCATGCAGCTGTAGGGTTGCAGGAGACCCAGGCTTCCAGGCTGGAGGTTCTGGGACCTGTTACCAAGAAAGAGGAGGTATTGAGCAACCCCACTGTTGGTTTAGTACAGAGCAGCGGCCCATAGTGAGATCTCTTGGTACCATGACCCTCCGAGCCATAGGCCTTGCGGTACGAATCGACCACAGCCCATGCCATGCATGAACATAAATCCTGACCCTACTCCTTTGATCCCACAAAATGATCATCACTCTTCATGGCATCCGACGGATCGTAATACGTGCCACCCATCACGAAACAGAGGTCCCAGTGCAGTACATCTTCAAGGCTAAAATACCTGAGTTCAGAGGAGAAGTCACTGCAGCTAAGCCCTTCCTCAAAAATCAGGAAGTGGAAGGATGGATAAGGGCCATTGAAAACCTAGTAAAACCCCCTACTTCACAGACATTTATACAAGCAGCCAGAACCAGCTGTAAAGGCCGTGCAGAGCGCATTATTAACTCTGCACTCTTTGATAATATAACAAGCTGGCAAGTGTTCAAGGCCCAGATATACAAGACCTTCCGTGGTACCTGCACCGCTGCCGACTTTTTTAAGGTGCTTTATGAACACCGCAATGCGAATGACCAGGCACCAATGGACTTCTTTCTGGAGATTCAAGGCAGCGTGTATCAGGGTTATCGGGACTACCCTGCTGCCATTGGTGACCCAGATGAATTAGTCCGTAGGGTATTTGTTAGTGGACTGTCCCCCTGGCTTCGTGACATCTTGGCCGTCAGGGATGACGGTTCGCCATCACAAATGGCCGATGCTGCTCAGCGTGTTTGGAACGCAAGACACGGAGTGCGGCACCACAAGCTAGACACGCCTGAGGAACCTAATCGAAATCCAGAGCGGCCACCTCGGGGTAGAGACCAGTATGCCTTTGCCAGAGGCTAATGCAGTGCAGCCACAGGCACTCCCACAGCAGTGTCATCAGAAGTGGTGCACCTACCACCAGGTTATGAGCCACGATGCTAGCGAATGCCGAGCAAGAGCCACCAACCAACCTCGAGCATGCTTTAATTGCAGAAGGACAGGCCACTATAGGAGTGCTTGTCCCTTTCCTGAAGGCCAGGGTACCCAGGCTCCCAACACCACTGGCACAGCACTCCAGGGGAGCAGATCAGGGATTGGGAGCAGAACTGATTACTGCAACAACTAAACGGCCGGTTGTGGCATTAAGGATCAACAGAATTAATGTGGCAGCAGCAGTCGCAGGGCCTCCTGCAGCGTCTGCCCCAGCCGCAGTCGCAGGGCCTCCTGCAGCGTCTGCCCCAGCCGCAGTCGCAGTGTCTTTTGTGATGTCAATGTCTCTGTGACCAGTAGCACCTGTTACTTATGGACCTCAGTGTTCTTTTTCTTACATGTATATTATTTTCCTCTTGCACTTGATTTTACTGTTTTATTCTCTCTTGCTTATACTGTTTTACTCTCTCTTGCTTTTACTGTTTTATTCTCTCTTGTTTTTACTGTTTTCTTCTCTCTTGCTTTTACTGTTTTATTCTCTCTTGCTTTTACTGTTTTATTATCTAGGTTTCACTGTTTTATTCTCGTTCTTACTCTTTTACATGTTTTATTCTCGTTCTTACTCTTTTACTGTTTTACTCTCGTTCTTACTCTTTTACTCTCGTTCTTACTCTTTTATTATTTTACTCTCGTTCTTACTCTTTTACTGTTTTACTTACTCTTTTACTGTTTTACTCTCGTTCT